ACAACGGGGTCGTATTTGGTCGCTTGGGGGGGGGAGGTGGGGGTCGTATTTGCGATGAGAAAAATTTCTTCTTGACTGCTAATTTTTCCATTGCTTAGCCTTAAAACCTTCAAGAAGGCGGCGCGGCAAAACAAGTACTGATATTGATTGGAGGCTTCAACCCCACAGCCCCTCTTCCCCATATCCGCTTGACGGCAGATTTTGAAAAAATTGCTGAGAAATTGGAAAGGTTGTGAAAGGGGGTCGTACCGAGGGAAATTGGAGGGGGACGGTCGTATTTAGCTAAAATTTTACACAATGCAGGCGCGTGTGCCTGATTCCAAATCGTTGGTGTCGAAGCTTGAATGCATCTATTGAGATGGTCCAAACTTACTAGGCGCTCTCTGAGCAAACGGGTGGCGAAAAGAATCATGAGCGAAGGGTCGGTAAGGGGTCAGGGTTTTCCATAAGCCATTTTTTTCATAACGTTCTGACAGTGAATTGGAAGAAGGGTTCATAAAGCACTGGTGTCGATCGACGCCCAAAATGCTCATTCGCTCAAGACGCTGATTCTCCCAGAACGCTGGGTCGCAACGTGTGAACGCCGTCGCGTGGCTTCACTCAACTGTGAAAATTTTGCATCAATCACTGTTCACAGAATACCTGATCGAATGCAGTCGTAGAGCGTTGCACCAAGCTTTGTCTTCTTGTACTTCAACTGGTCAACAACATCTCTGGTTAGATGCTGAACAACAGGAGATTAATAAAAATTTTATTGCAAATCAATGTCCAGTCACCTTTTTCAGTAAAGACTTGCACTTTGCTCCCTCGGGACCGTTCAATTTTTGGTAGCCTTCCTCGATTTTCTTAATAGTACAGGAGTCTACACTGCTGCCAAAACCAAACCAGGATTTGGCCTAAATATAGAAAGATACTGAAAGATACATCTACAGGATAACATCCCAGAAAAACGTGTTGACTCACCTGTGGCGTGAAAGTATAAAGAGCAGTAGCGCCACCAAGAGCCGCAACAAGTCCTCCTATGACTTTTGTGTTTTGCTTCAAGAACGTCGACATTCTGATGAGGTCCCACAGAGGTAATAAGAACTTAAAAGTTCTACCTGTAATTCAATTCAGAAATCGACAAATTTGAACGATATAGTTAGGAACACTTTTACATTTCTCGTATGCACTCCAGCGTCGATATTGACTTCGCGCGCGCGCTTAAATCAATATCTATACGACGATGTGCGTATGTCGTACACTGATGCAGGATTAAAGTGAAATCACAAAATTTCTAAGTTGCACGGACACAATCACAGGAAAACGAAAACGAGAACAACAGCCTCCAGTAAAGAGTAATATAGACTTGGCTAGTAAACTGAGCACACGTCCCAAGATTCTCGAAAGCATTACATCCTTCAAGCAAAACAAATCATAAGGTACACTGCTGCAAAAAGGTGGACTGCTTTAAGAGTAAAACGCGCTGAAAAATCTTCGGTTTGGAACCAATTTAGTGAACCTGTTAGAACATGTTTCAGGATGTGAGAAACTGTAGCGGGTCTTCCATATAGGACCAACCCGTATGCCGTCTCAGGGCACTTGTCAACCGGGAAGCCTCTCCTCTCTTTCATTTTTTCTTCCTCCTTCCTTCTTTTCCTTCCTTCCTTCTCTGATCCCTCCTCCTTTACCTTCTCCCTCCAACTACTGGACTGGTAGATGCCTCGTGAAAATACCCCTGGACCCTCGCAGTGAGAGCACGTCTGGTTGACAACAGCCCCCACATTCGCCGCCATTTCTTGTGCTTGGGGATTCATACAAGTCGTTAAACGGCGATAAGTATGTACTTCAATGGCGACCACAAACTTGGAAAAAATGAGTTTATCATAAGCTTTCAGGGGAAACCAGTGGAATACGAACATTCGCTCAAGGGAATTTTTGCAGGACATTTGCCGAAGAAGCAATATCGTCACACTTCAGAAGAGCAATGCGACAACTAACGGCCAAAGAGCTTCTGTCCCTATTTGTCAATACAAACGCCTACTTAAACGGATTTTGAGGCGGGATAAGCGCGTCGTGTAATCAACAAGAGCCTCTACTAGTAATTGAACAGTACTGCTCATTTACACTCTGACAGATCAGCACTTGTTCGCGAGTTTTACATATTTGTGAGGAAAGAAGAACAGCAACAAAAGCGCAATGTAAAAGTGGACAAATTGACCTCGTCGGCCAGTCCTTTTCGGATGCGCCTCGCATTTGACTTCCGTTCGGAGAGGATCACGGCATATCATCCGCTGGGAAATCACAATTGTTAAAGAGCCTCACCTGGCTGCTGTAAAGCGGCTCAAGGAAAGACTGGACATTTTTATCGTGTCGTGCGCGCTGCTATCCAGTTCCACCGCACGACGGTGCAAATTCGGGAACAACTGGTAAGATGGTAGGTAAGTTGTGAAAGTGGGTCGCTGTGAGGGAGAACATTCGAGAGTAGATCCGCATACAGCAGAGATATTTCCACAGTGATTTCATAATATGCCTTAAATGGTGTGCGTACGTGGAAGCCAGGGTAAAATTAATTGAGCGAAGTAAAGGTAGTAAGGGAATACAGGAATAGAGATCGCCTACTCGCTCGAAATTGCGTTCATACTTTGGAGCAGCGTCCACCAGCGACCACCGCGTTTCGAGCGTCCGTCAGGTCAGCGACTAGGAGAGTATAAGATATCGATCTAGCGAACGGCGGCGCCTACCAGCGTCCTTCCTTAGAATAGTGAACGTTTGACGGCGATCAGTTTTTCTTCAGGATGTTCTACACCCTCTACTTCCAATTAGAAGTATAGTGGCACTGAAATGTGGTCTATACAAGGCCAGTCAACATACAGACTTTTTCGGACGTTGAGCGTGTCAGGGGAGGGCTGGGTTTGACGCGGCACCAACCAGTTTTCCACCAATTGTGGAAGTTTCCATAATCTAGAAAGAACGCGTTGGCGCTGCGCCGCACCCAACCTCCTTGACACGCCCCAACATCCGTAGAGAAGAGGACCGCAAAAATCAATGTTTTGCCCTACCAGAAGACTGTGGTGAGGCTGACTTGTTAAAAGAAAAAGCACCACATCTCATCGGCTTCAGTCGGGAAAGGATTTTTCCAGATTTCTGTCGGATTCTAGGCACTTTTTGAAAGCGCTGAACACATATCTTAGTGACAGCCGGCTGGTTGCAAGAAATGTTGCAGCAATGCTGCCAGGTGTCAAAGTCAGCTGACCAGTACTCATAAAGACACCAAATGTGAGTCTAAGATTATGTCAAGAAAACGAGGACTGCAGGAGCGCTGGGGATAAATGGCGCGTCAGCCAGAGCGCTATGCGTCGAAATGAATGACACATTTCTTCATGAAATCGATAGGCGATAGAATGTAGAAAAAAGTGCGGCTCGCACAGTTCGCTCGGCGATCGAATCAATACTTTTTGCTGCTCCGAGAATGTCACGTAGGCAGCGCTTGCCGTTTCTTACAAGCTGAATAATAATAATAATAATAATAATAATAATAATAATAATAATAATAATAATAATAATAATAATAATAATAATAATAATAATAATAATAATAATAATCTGCTGCTGTCTGGTTGTGCAAAGCGACCAGCTAAAGTGCAGAATAAAAGACCAACTTTAGTCTTTCTGTTTTTGAAACACGGGAGATGCGCTGAACGTGCGGCGTCACGTGCGCGGCATTCGCACCAAGATAACTGATTTGACGTGGAAGTGACGCAGTGCTTCGAGTCAAAAAGCTAGGAAATGTCTACTAATTCGCAAGCGATGCCGCGTTTCGAATACTCTGAATCACCAAAAAAGGGGTATGTGACAAGAGGTCGTAATTCGCCGCGCTGATGGGCGTCGCGTGCGACGTCGCGCCCGCAAATGACGATGGTTCCAGGTCGTAGATGGCGACAACAGACAATGTATAACCAAAAATAGCCATGATTACGGTGTCGTAGTCAACACAAAATCCAGGGCTCCAAACGGCAGGCTAACGCAAGTTAAGAAATCGTCACACTCATCGCCGCGCGCGACAAAGCGGCAAGTTGCGATTGTCCTGGCCGTCTCCGCGAAAATAGTGACCGTTTTTAGCGATGAAATGCTCCAAAAGCGACTCTCAACTCAAAAACAGTCCCCTTCTAGCCCTTCCTCTCAGAAGAGGCTTATTGTGACTTTCTTTTCAAGGTGTAGTAGATCCATGAGAAATACGAGTTCTGAAAATACGAGTTGAAAAAAACAAGACAGCCGACACTGGTAAAGTAATATTTAACAAGTAGTCTGAGATGTCTCGGCACCTCCATTAATAAGGCTTTTTGCACGAAGCTAATTATCGCAGGCAAGAGAAAATCAATTAGGCTGTAATGAGATACAAATATGACTCATCCACTAGAAATGACGGCGGAAAAGACTATGCGCTATCTTCTCGTTACTACCGTACTCTTCAAAATTTTGTCCACACTTTTTATTACAGAGATTTAGATTTTGATTCTTTCCAGTAGATTCAACCAAAACCCTAATACAGGGGTACTCTGCCCGTAGATGCCTTTCATCCGGCCCATTGAAGCCTGGCCAGTTTTCGCGTAGGTGCTCGGAATGTTCTGTTTTTTCGTGTTCTGTTAGAATATAGTATTCTAGTTTACATCATAAAAACTAAGAAAATAAAAAGAATACCTTTTTAATTATTACCGTTTTAGGATGTGCCACGTATTCTAGACCAGTCCAGAATCGAAGATGTCTTACGAATGTGATGTGGCTCATGCATGACGTGCCGTAGGTGGCCACTGTACGCTGTCAGTGTTCGCTTACCCTGCTCTGGTTTCGATTATCTGACACTGTAGGAATGGAAGGCTCAACTGGCCCGGGCAGGACCTCTCCCCCTCCCCTTGCACGTGGTGAGCAGCCGCTATCCACCAGGATGCGTCCCTCCAGGGGAAGAATTTTGGATATACGACCCCCAACGTCAATTCCTTGATTGGTAAGATCTTCCCTTCTCCATTCCCATCCTGTCTGGATCTACCTACCGTTTTCTCTAATTCTCCTACCTGCCTACCACATTCCTTGAGTTTCTTTTCCCCCGAATTCCTCCACTTTTCCCAAAATAATGTCGTGGAGTGGAAGAGTGTATATAACGCATGGCACGTGAAATGGAAAAACCTGATCAAGGCAGCAACCCGCAGAAAATATTTCTTAAAAGCAAGTACCACCCAGCTCGCCACCGACTCCCCCTCAGTGGTGGTCCACGACGTATGAACAGGGTACAGCATCGTGATGTGTGAAATGGTGGTGCCAGTAAGACCTCCCGCTCTCAAAGCAGGGTCTTGCAGGGCACATCATCGGTTGGGGAAAAGCACCTAAGCTTACCAACTTCCAGCATTCTCAGTTTTTCACCCAGAAATTTCGGTCGAGTTGGGGGGGAGTGTGTGTGTGTTGTTGTGTGTGTGTGTGGGGGAAGGGGTAAATTGTACACTATGGAACCAGAAAAAATTCAGCGAAAAATTCAACCAACCGCGAAAAATTTTTTCCTAAGGCGGCAGATTTCTCCCTAAGGCAACACATTCACGAGCCTGCCTCCTCCAACAACCGATGCAAAATACGAACCGCCCTCTCCCGCGCCGAATAGTAACGACCCCCCCCCTATCTCTTTTACACGACGATTGCCTTTCCCATAATTCGCATTACATAATACATAAATGAACAAAAACAAATAAATAAATGATTCCAGAACAATTGAGAAAAAGGGGGAAGGAGGGAATAAAACTTGCTTTGAAATGGAAATCTTGAACCAGTAAGCAGGAGGCCTCCTGCCTCCACACGTTTGTTTACTTCCCTAAAGCAGTATCCTGCTGTCCCAATGTTAAATTTAACGACACGGAAAAGGCCATAAAAATCGCTCGTTAGCGGCGAACAACTAAAAAAATCAGTGGCGGAGTTAATCGATGGCGGCTGGAACGTCGTGTGGCAAGTACTAATTCGATAGGCGAGTGCAAAGCCACATAGTGCATATACGGACATGAAGATGGGAGCACGCATTGGGAGTGAGAGAACTC